GTGAGTATTCACAGCTTGCAAAAGAAAAGAACAAACACTATCAGCTGGTGGAAGCCCACGACACATCATTTGATGCTGTTTCAACTTCAATGGATTCTGCAAATGAGATGTCCTCTTCTGTAGAGGTGCAAAGCAAACCCATATACTTGCCTACCATCAAAGTTTGGAGGGGCAATGGGGCCATGAGCATTGGTGATTCTCAGTTTGGAATTTCCAAGGAGATTGTCAAAGCTGAATCTGAAAAGGATGGATTTGTTTCAGGCGGAAGTCGTGCTTGGAAAGAACGAGCTGGTGGAACTGTATGTGGGAATGATGAGTTCAGAGTGCCAATGAAACTTTCGTGCTTTGAGGAGTTCGGCTTTTGCTGGCGCACTGTGAGCAACAAAGATTTGTACACCCGGCTGGAGAAACATTTGATGCGGTTTGTTCAAGAGCATAGAAAGAAGTTCTTGCACAAGAAGAAGAACCTCGGACCCAACGCAAATGTCAATCAACCAGTACTACTTGCTTGGGACAGGTTCTTTGGCTGCTTCAATGTAGTTTCAAGTTTTACTATAAGTCTTTTAAAGTCTTCATTGTGTTAACTGTTAACTATAACGCTTCACAAGTCTTCACTATTGATTTAACTTGAAATTTGAGTTTCTGAATGTCTGAGTATTTGCTAGCTAGTGAAGTAACTAACTGATCTCTTGTTGAGTCTTGAATCTTGCTATTTATCAAACTTCAGTCTGTTTGCTCAGTTAATTAGAGATATATACAAAGATCGATTTGAAATGCTGGAAGCATTGGCCTTGTATATACAATATATGCTATATATATATATTTAAATATATATTTTTTTTAAATATCAATATTAATATATATATATATAGAAATGGCTGAACAGTCAGTCAAAGGATGCCCATTAATCATTATAGTTTAAGGTTCAATTAAGATGCGCGTTACCAACTATCAAGCTGCTTGGCTAAGGTCTGAATATCATGCCTGGGTCTTGTCAGCTTGCTCCTTTTCACCCTACACTGCAGACTGGTGGGAGTGTGCTTTGGACATCAACGATCACCTGGCAATTGCATCGCCAAAGTGGAAGAACGGAGTTCATCCTGCAGTAGTTACCCACAAAGAGCTGGCAAGGAATGTGTCAAACATTGCTTCTGCTTCCGCAAGCGATTGGTCTTGGAAGCTGTACTACGACTACAAGGCTAAGTTTGTACTCCGCGCACAGTTCTTTTTCACGCTTGTTCAGAAGCTCTTTCATCAGTCATCAGTGTCAGGCATTTACTAATACAATGTCCCACAAAGCAATCAATACTATGCGCTTGAATATAGTATAGCCTTGAACTTGGAAGCCTCTTTTGGTCGCATACTCTACATTGAGTAGGACTACATTTATGTGGAATCTAGAATCAAGAGTCTAGACTGTAGACTGCATTTAACTTTATACTACATTGATTATTCAGAAACTAATCATATACTGAGTAGATTCAGAGATGAACCGAAAAGACTCCAACTTGCAATAGACATTGTACCATTAATCATTACATTGAACTGTCTTCAAAATCAAAGTGAAAGCTTGATGATGCCTTGCACAGGTGGACGAAAACCAGATCGACAAAATATACTTTGAGATCAGCCCTGATACATCTTCCTGGGAGGAAGTTGGCGCAATTGAGCACTTGCAAGACAGCTCTGATGAAGAGGCTGAAATAGTCACCATGACATCAGCCCTGCTGCAAGTGACAGGTTCTGGTTCCAAAGAAACCGACAAGAAGAAATCTAAAGTGGTTGTTGGGCAACGACGAACACGAGCAGGCACACGCAATGCTGATGAAAGTAGCTGTTGCTTTTGCTACGCAAATAGTTTCATATAATAACAATGAGTGTCTTGTTCTTTAAGCACTGATACAAAACTATGATCAACAATCAACAAGATTGTAGTTTCTAATGACATCATAATACATCATATAAGGCTTTTTGTATACACCCTGTCATTCAGGCACACGCGTTGACAACAGCAGCAATGCAGTTGAGCATGATGAGGCTAGAGAGGATGGTGCAGAAGATTTGGATGAGGTTCATGATACTGAACTACAGCGGACTTGGGAAGCTGCACACGAAGCAGACACCTGGATAAACAATCATATCATATGACTTATGACCCACAACAAATGATTACCTCAAGTTAATGCAACATAAAAATATAAGTATATACCATCATAATATATGATTGAGATTTCATCAAACACTGTTCATGAGTAGTTATGCCTAAGGATATGGATTGCAACAAGTTTGATCAAATCATTAATGTTTGTATATAGTATATATATTTTGCTTTCGCAAGGAATGTGGGCGACCTACTTTGCGAGAAGCAATTCCACCACAACCAACGTCAAAGTCAAAGTCAAGACCATCATCTTCATCATCTTCGAAACAGCCTGCATCGACAAGCTGTTCGAGGGCTGAACTAGCTGTAGGTGGACTACGTATTGATGACGCAGGCAGAGTTTACAAAGAGGGAAAGGCAGCACCACTAGGATGGGGTTGTGAACTGAGTTTTTTTTGCTTTACTTTACTGATTTTTTGTTGGTGAGCTCAGACCTGACTTAGACAATTCTAATTTAATTCAATCGAATTAAGACTTAGGCATTTCAATTTCACAAACACTGGATGGAGGACGTATCACACAATTCAAGATAGGCACAGCTCAGCATTCAGTGTCGTTCAATTGCTACAATCATTCCAAATGCAGAGCGGTTCGTCTCATGAAAAAGCTGCCTGATGACTTCCAGGTCAGGACTGCTTCAGTTTCAATTTTCAATTTCAGTTTCATTGGTAGTTTTGGGCTTCCGCTTTGTCATTTTGTCATAGTTTTATATGTATTCAAATGTTTGTTCAAGGGGGATGCACTTCGATGGTTTGCTTTGGGGCTTGAGCACTCCAATCGCGCAGATGCTGCAAAACATTTGCAGAGGTGTTCTTCTTAGGATTTCTTTGATTAATTATGATTATGTTCTTTGCACTTCAAATTTCAAACAAATATAAATAAATGAACATTGACATGTTGCATTTGTTGTAATTTGTAATTAATACATATCATGAATTGTGTGAACATACATGTGGCTCAGGTTTGATCTGCTTGTGATGAGGCAGCCGAGCTAGATTGTGTGATCCTAGAGGTGGAAAAAATGCACAGCCAATGAGGAAGGAATTGTTCAATGTCCTGTACGTGATTGCACTGGACTGTACATGTGGAGTGTACGCACTGTATGTACACATGGAATGTACACACTTTTGTTAGCAAAAACCTTAAAATTTGCTAACAAAACCTTAAAATTTGCTAACAAAACCTCAATATTTGCTAACAAAAGTGTGTACACTCAGTGTGTACACAGAGGGTGTACAGTGGACACTGAACATGTACACTGTATGAGTGCATTCATTGATATGCACACTATTGGCTCAGCAACATTTTGTTGTGAGAATCCCTGCTGTACTACTCGTGAATCATGTCGGTTGCAGCGTCTTCGAAACATGATGGTGAAGTACCAGTACCTCCTGAAGGCTTTGAGCTGCCTGACAAGTACAAGGTCAAGCGCTGTTGGTATTGCAAAGCATGGTCTACAAGCCCATCACCATGGCATCTACGTGACACACCACTCAGTGCATGGCATCCACTCATTCCATGGGGTCGAGGGTCTCGTGCAAAGCCAATCTCAGATACCTGCAAGATTTGTGTTATTGTTCCTTACTTGAACACAAAACATAGTTTGCAAGATTTTTGTTTGTGGAGCGTTGTGTTGTTTTGTTTGGAGGAAGTTTGAGAAAAGACATGACAACTTGTCACTTCAGGTATGGACTCAGGGTGGGTGGGAAGCAGAATGGATGACGGAGGACAAGTTTCGCAAAGCAGTACAACAAAATGCAGCGCTGCTACATCCTTTTCTTGTATCTTTGAACTGAACCTCCTGTACATGTTTCCCTTGTGTATTTGTTTGCATATTGTAATTAATTTAAGTATGTATTGTATGAATATTTACAATTATATATGTCACTGTATCACAAAAGGGTGCTTGTGAGCATGCCAAGGCAGTTCGAACAAGGGTCATCAAGATGAAACAAGCTGACCCTACTGCTCGCTTTCGGCTGGAGAAGCTAGGCATTACCAAAGACGCTGTCGAGACTGCAGAGGTTGGTGAGCGCGGCCTTGAGAGGCCTGAAGAATATTGGGTTGAATTGGACAAATACGAAGCAGATCCGGCAAATCCCTCAGTGGAGCCTTGTGACTATGTCTATGAGTTGGTGGATGGAGTCATGAAAGCTGGCGTGCCTTGCATTGTGGTAGGTTTTTTTTGCGCTTTAAGGCTTTAAGGCTTTAACTTAATACATAGTGCACTATACTTTGGCGTGAAACCACAACAGGTAAATGTGCTCACTGGCAAGGCAGGGTGGCATAAGCGCATCCATAGGGACTACAACACTGTAGCTAAGAAGACAACGTTGACAGATGACATCGAGATCTGTGAGGACGCTACAAACAAGATCCATACAGCGGCGAAGTCCATTGTGCTGAAACGCAAGGCTGCCACTTTGTCTTTGCCACATCCAAACCAACATGTGGCTTCATCATCCTGTTCAGTTTCTACTCCAGCAGCAGCGCCTGAGCGAGAAGAGACCAACACCAGGAACACAGGACAGTGTCTTTAAACTTTAAACTTTAAACACTTTGACTTTGAACTTTAAACTAACAGCGTTGCAAGTTGCAACTAAAAAACTATTGATTGAGTACAATAATAGACATTACTATACTATTACTTATTGTGACACTTTTTTCGTTGTTGTATATACTCTAGTCAGGAGTCGACGACAACAAGTCAGACAGCGAGGAAGAAGAGGAGCAATTGTCGAGCAGCCTTATCACTATGCTGAAGCAATATCATCCAGCAGGGCCAGAACGAGCAAACTCAGCTGGTGCCAAATCAAAAGCCAAGTCAGCTGCACCTCCCAAAGAGCCAGCTGCAGGCAAGGCAACTATACCCAATTCAAAGGCTCGCAAGGCAACTCCAGCAGCGGTGACAAGTTTGAGGACAACTATTGGCAACGCAGGATCAACCAAGCGCAAGATTGCTGACGGCAACGGCATCAATCTTGAGGCTGCAGCATCAAAAGCGGTCAGACTCGACATCAGCGATGGATTGTCTGCTGCTGACAAGGAAATTGTCGATTCCTTTGAGAACAAGTTTGCCAAGCTGAAGATTGTGGATCCACCACTATCTGAGCCTGCTTTCAAATCCAAAATCAATGAGCTTCTTTCAAGCTGTCATTCATTTCTTGGCGAAATCAAGACTAAGAAGCGGTCAGCATCACGGAGGAACAATCAAGACGATCAACTTGTGGCAGCGCTGGAGGCAATGGAAGAAGATGTGCAGGACCATGTGAAAATTCTCAAGTGTACATTGGCAAATCTTTGTGTAGCTTTAAGCTTTAATATTTTGTCTTGAGTGTATTGATTGAATTTGACCACTTTTACTGTAAGTTTCAAGTCTACAGCTTGAATGAATCGCAGTAAAACCTTAGTTTAGTTGTGTTAGTCTTGGGCAAGTGAAGTGTTTTGTTTGTTAAGTGAAGTGTCAACAAAGGTGTATTGGGCTCTGCACAAGTTGATACTACTACAACATTGGTGGCCATGGTGGATGATGCTACATCTCGTTTGGGATGCACATTCAACCATGCAGTCATGCGGAAGGCACTCAAGAGTCTTGTGAACCAGGATGTTCAGGTATCTGCTTGGGAGAATTTGACCAATGTGACAAAGAAGACCCTTGATGCTCGCTTCATTCCTGACAGCAACAGCAAAGATGTAGTAGACGCTGATGACTTCTACATTATCCTCTTGACTCAAACATTTCAGAAGCTTACAAAGCTGGCGTCCAACAAGCTCAAACACAAGGACTTATGTCAAGTCAACATTGAACATATTTTCCAATGTTCATAGTTGTGTAAAACTTAAACTTATGAGTCTTATGATATGCGAAATTAAGTTAAGTCAAGTTTGTTTTAGTTAATTGCTCGTCGGCTGGTTGCAGGAGAGCGTATTTTGCGCTGTCAACAAAGTGGAAATGGAATCGACACTTGCGTTTTTGTCTGCTCTTGAGAGTGCATCATCCACACCAGATCGGCTGAAGACAGATGTCTCTCAGATTGTCCTTGTGTTGCGGGCAGACACAGCAGATGTATCGGAAGTGAGCAATGCAGTGCAAATGATTGAATCAATCAAAAGGTCGACTGAGGCGATTCTTGCACACATTTAGACCAATTAAGCTTTGGGGGTTGTAGGTGCAATAGTCTAAAAGTCCAAAATCCAACCTCTCATCATCGTCACCTTATTGAAATTTAACATTGAACAGTTCATACACAAATCAAATCAACAACAACCAAGGATCAAAGCATACCCTCTTGCATTTAGCTTCCTGAGCATTAATTTGGGCATGAAATTCATCAAAGAGGCCAAGGATATTGTAGCAGACAGGAAGGAAAACTTCAGCGACGCAGAAGAACTCGACAGCAAGCTCAGTGAGATGAATCAGCTGAAGCTCACTGACGATAAGTCGCTCTTGATTATGTGTCTTGGCAATTTGTTTGAAGTAAAGTTTATGATTATTTATGATGGTTGCATGTCAATCTTAATTTGTATATTGAAAATTGTATCTTAATGTATGTTGTTTGAGGTTGAAGCAAGTCTAATGAACATCTGAGCCACAAACTCCCTTCAGGGCAAAAACGCTTGGACCCTTGCACGATGTATGTCACCGCATTGTGAGCAACAAGCAGCTTGCAAAAGCGATGGGCTATGATGTTCTGAAAGCAAAGCAGGACAAGATCAAGGCTTATACTCTTGACGTGATTGTGTTCTGTTGGCAGCATCAGGTGCACTTGGTGGAATTATATAAAACGGTTGTCTAGCTTTTGTGTTGATTCTGATTCTTACTTTTGTCTTATTTTAGTTATTTTTGTGACGCAATTCTCAATGCAATCAGGTAACTCCATGGATTGCAAAAGCGACTGCAGCTGCCTATGAATGTCGAGCCATCCCTGATGCGAGTGTCCTTGGCAAATGGCCTGTGGTTGAATGTCTCTCTTGCCTGGAAGCTTTCCAGCCTGCTTCCTCCTTGCTCAACGCCATTGCTGTAATTGGGAAAACCATCACATACATTAGAGGTGGTTCAGCGAGTGATGAGACCGATGTACTCAAGTTGCATGAGCAAATTCACAAGGAGCTCACGCAGTCTGTAGTGCAGTTTGAGGACATGGGTTCAGAGTTCAGAAGTTTGAGGATATGATTAGCTAAGCTCAATGAATGTTAATGTGGAATCTAGAATCCCATGTAAATGTAAACGGTTATAAGTTTATATAGAAATGGCACTATACATTACACTACTCCTTGTTGGTCATTGAAGAATCAACTATAATTCTGACCAGCCAGAAATTGAAGGACAAGGTTCTGAAGCCTTGCATCAACATCACTGGTGTCCCGAAGAATGATTTGGATGCTGTCTCAATCAAGAAATCATTGCATGAGTTTTCTTCAGCTCTTGCGACTGCTGAGTGTGGGATCATGAAGAAGGGAACCCAAAAGCACCAATCCAGCATTGGGATGTACCTGAACTCTATGAACTTGAACATGACCGGTGAAGGCTGGGAGAAAGAGGTGGAAAGTCCTTTGGACTTTGATGATGCTCTTCATCATTGTGAGCAAGTTTCTCTTCGATCAGCTTGTCTTGACGAGGATGATGAGTTGCGGGGCATTGGATTGTCTGCTGCCGTTCTTGCGAAAAGCCTGTTCGAGCTAGGACTTGTGTTTCAGTTTCAAGTGTTTCAAGTTTCAAATTGCAAGTTTCAAGTTTCAACTTTTCACCTTTCCTAGCCTGTAGTTTTTAAACTTTAAACATTTAAATTTATTTCAATTCGAGAGGCTCAGGTTCCAAATTGGACATGACAAGTTGACAAGTTGTTTTTGTGGTTGAAGGACGATCTTATCTTGCACTGAAGAAAGAAACGTGTCCTAGCGCTTCAAAAGAACGGCTTCCATTCCTTTGCGCTTCCGCCTTCAGTATGGAGCTTGTGGTGCTGAGGGCCTTCAGTGACTATGAGTCGATGGCTAACACCATTGGACAATTCCTTGCCCATGAATCTTGTGCGCCAGACTTGGTTGGTATCGAGAAGACAGTGAATTTGAATCACAGAGACACCGCGAGTGCAGTGGCACATAGTGTGCAGTACCAGGACAGCACCGCACAACTGTGGTTAGTTTTTTGTTTGACTCAAAGTTCAAAGAGATAAGTTATATATATTTAACTACTTATCTACTATATTATATAGAATACTCTATTTGTGTTTAGTCAAGTTTGGGGTAAACTCTTTCTGTATAGTAATTAGTAGTTAGTAATAACAATAATAGTAGGTGTGTATAATCACACCCAATTTGGACATAGCAATGTGGATCACACTTCCTGCAGGCCGAACAACTTCAAGCACTATTGATCAAAAATGACGAATTGAACTTGCCTTTTGCAAACAGCTTGGAGTACACAGGGGATGAGCAGGACAACAAAGTCATTCGGAGCTACATCAGTGGACTTGATGAATTGAATCAGAATCAGAAAACGATGGTATCTATTTCCAGCCAATTGCAGCATGCTCTGAACACTGCCAAGGAACCTTGGCACTATTCAGACTCAGTCTCATCAACCAATAACATTAATTCAACTCAATGATTTTCATATTAAATATTAAATCATGTTACTTGATAACTTGTTGTTTTCATCACTAGATGAAACACTGAAACACCTGATGCTGGACAAGCATGCTCCAACTTCAGCCAAGGAATGCAGGGCCTTGCTTGATGGGAAAATGGATTGCACATCGTTGGCTGACATCATTCACAAGGCACTTCAGCAAAATAGATATTGAACTAACTAGTTATACTATATGTGTGTGATTCGTTCAAGTTCAAGCCAATCACTCAGTGTTCTTGTGGGGTTCTTGGGATTTTGCCCACCTGTGGAGACCCCATGACACCATGACAATGAGGCAGATGCAGCGTATCACAATCAGGTCTCGTTGTTGGCAATCGCGACATTGATGAACATTCTGTGTAGCAAACGGTGGCACAAAGCCATTGAACAAAAACTTGCCCCTCCTGAGAATCTCAGGAAAGATCTCAAGAAGACAATGTCTACAGCTAGGGAGCTAGGTTTATCCTTGCCTGCCAAATTGCAGGCGATTGCTGCTAGGCATTCTGGTGGTGGCGATTAAATGGCAAACAGTTCTTTCTACTTTTTGTAAATCTTAGATCAAATCAAGTCTTAACTTAACACTTGTTTGTGTGGCGTTTTATGTTTACTTGTGCGCTGTGTTTGTTTCAGTAGTTTCAATTCTATTGTTCAATTCAATGATTAATTCAATGTTCAATTGATTGATGTTGATTCGAGTTTGCTGGATATGACTAGACTTGTGACTTCTAGCACCACCACTGAGCCTAGCTGTCAAATCGTCACTGTACTGTTGGGCTCATCTTGCCTTCAAAGTTGAGGATGAGCTCTTGCGCTCGAGTTTGGGTTGCGACTCTTGCGCAAAAGTTCCAATGCTGACTAGGTTGGTGGCCACTAGGTTGCGGTCACACTGTCCACAAAAAGTGGATGCTGGGTATGCAAGTTGTCAGTAGAGTATGTGTGTGTCAGCTGCCCATGAACAACATATACTGAGTCTGTATATATAATATATATTTATTTATATTTTATATCCTTAGTCTAGCCAGTTTTGATAGTTCATATCATATCATAAGTTACAAGTTACAAGTTGTTGTTTTGTATTTTGAGGCAGTTGATGACTCCTGGCATTTGCTGCACCTAATTCAGGGTCGGTTAATCCGAAATCCAATCTAGACACAGTTTCAAGCAAACATAAATAGTGAAGAGACCATGGATTGGACCAAATTCATTTTGGCTCCAAGCCCAAAGAGAAGTTGAAGTTAGTCGATGCAAAACTGAGTGCCTTCCTCTTAGACTCTTTGGCTTGCATATGTGAAGAAGGTCAACCGCTTCAGATCATTACAGTAGATGTTTCTGATTCACGAGCTTTTTTTTAAGTCAAAATTCGATTCATATGTGTTTCCTCATTCCATCCGGAGTTAAGGATCAAATGCATCATCAAATGAGTGTTTTACTAGTGTGACAGTGTGACACTAACACTTGACAATTGATATTGATTGATTTGCTTACCATTTATCGTCTCTTCTTGTGCCACTGTTTGGTGTTTGGACATTTAGCATTTTCGTTTGACCCGTTGTGGCATCATGGGCAAAAGGGCAGCTACACCACGTCCAAAGCCTGCTCCCAAGATAAAAGCTGCCAAGGCAGCAGCCAAGCCTAAGCCTAAGCCTAAGGCCTTTGGTAAAGCAAAGGCAGTTCCCAAGGCGAAAGCAATCGATGAAAGGATTCCTATTTTGCCTAAAGAAGAACAGGAGAAGTACAAACAGCGATGGGCAAGCTTTTTGACTTCAGCCCTTTGGCCAAGTAATCTACTAGGTGGTCATACAGCAATATTTTTGAGTTTGGACGTTGAGCAGCAAATGCTTACTTACAAGCAACAGACTTGACAGGTTCAGTGCAACTTCAAACAGCTTTGTTCATCTCAATTTCAATCTCAATCTCAAGTAAGGCGAAACCTGCTGAGACACCGCTTCCTCTTCAGTCTGGGCCGTCATCTTCCGATGCTGGCATGGATGCTGCAGCAACTATTGATGAAACTCGTTCAACTATGACAGAGGCCTTGGAGACCCTTATGGATGCAGACATGAGCACAATGGCAACTTTGACGCAACACCATGCAACAATAACTTAGACTTAAACTAAACTAAACTTAAACATATTCTTATATTGCTCAGTTCATCATACATGGTCTATAGTTGAGTTTGCTTGATTGCAGCGACAATCGCTCACGGTTGAATCTTCTACAACAGCGGACAACCAGGATGAAACCATGCTGACAAACGAGCATGACAACGGCGACCATGATGATCGCGATGCAAACGATGCTGCTGATGATCATGATGATGTGCGCTCTGCTGATTCAGACTTTGACAGGAAGCTGAATATATCATTGGCACACCCGCGACTTCAAGACTATGTAGACTATGTCAGAAGCCAAGAAGGACTTGACGAATCAGAATGGAAATTTGCAGATGATGACCTTGGAGATGCGATTGAAGATGTTGCTGGGTTTGAGCGATGGTTGCATGAACAGGGGATGACATTGACGGCACCTTCTACATCGGCAGGGAGGGAGACTAGTTCAAACCATGTATCCGTATCAGAGAACAAACAAGAAGAGTCAGAGCAACAAATATCAGAGAACAAAAAAGAGTCAGAGCAACCTGTTCAGACTGAGAGACCAACACATGTACAAGTGCCAGCAACTGAACAAGTTGATCCAGGACCAGAAACAAACATAGACAATGAAAAGAAAGAGCATGAGAAAGTTGACTCTGAGAAAACCGTGACTTGTAGTGAGAACGAGAAAAAGACTGAAGAACAAGGCACTGGATGCAAGGATGATGACGAGAAACCAAACCAGGCTGATCATTATGATTGTCAGGATGAGGCACGCAAGGTACGCAGCTATCTTCGTTCACTTCCAGAAGCACCAGAACTGG